CAAGTTAAGAACATTTTTTTAGTATTAATTGTCATTGAAAAAATAAAATTAGATATCTATTTAATCAATTGTTCAATTAAAACAATACATGTAGCATTAGTAATAAAATTAATGTCAGTTTTTGTTATTTTTTATACTAATTAATATAAAAAAATTGTATTAATTATATCCTTAATTTGTATCCTCATGGCACATGTTAGATAAATCCTATTATATATCTCAAAGAAAAATGAAAGAGGAAAGTGTCTTGGTTGTTGTTGGGAGTTATTTGGGTGAGGGATTGGCCCTCCCTAAAACGCGTTTTACAGTTTTCTACTTTCCACACGATAATGATGGTCAATGTGTGAAAAGTAAAATATTTGTGATATTATGATGATGTTTATTCACCTTTAATTATTAGATTAACTATTTAAATTTATGGTTTTGTGGAAAGCTTGAAGAGAAGCATTTACCTTAATCATCATAACAATAAAAGTACGTTGTTAAAAGATGATGACAAAAAAGAAGTAACATGAATTGTAGCAACAAGATGACAAGAGAAGATCTGAATATAGAATTACAGAGGTAATCCTATATATATCCTAAGTTGTGGCAAATTGGACTATAAAACAACACTTGTTTATTAGTAAATCTAATTCTTAAAGTTAAATTTAATGTATATAATGATTACATGGATAAATGTCTTATTGAAGTCTATAAATGTGGACAATTTGCAACTATGAAAAAAAAATACCTATCTAGAAGCATTAGTGCTATTTATGAGTTCCCTACTCGATTCAAGGATTTAAATTTGAATGGAGCTAATCAACTCAAAAAAGTGGTTGTGTGTTCCTAAAACTCTCTTCTTTGCAAACTTTTCCAGTCAATTAAATGTTGTTGGCTCAAGTCTTCTTATTAGAAGGTAGGGGGTTATGTCTCTTCCTGTCATGTGTATGCATTCACTTAAAAAGTCTTCGCAAAATTTTCCAATCAATCTATCAATCAGTGATAGAGCCAGTATAGGACAGGGGGCAACCGCTCAGCAAAAAGGAAGTAATATGAATTGTAGCAACAAAATGGCAAGAGAAGGTGTGAATACAGAATTACAGACTTAAATCTTATATATATCCTAAGTAATGGCAAGTTGGTCTATAAAATGATTTTTGTTTATTAGTAAATTTAATTTTGAGTTAAATTTAATGTATAGAATGATTACATGAATAAATGATTTATTGAAATGTTTATGAATATGTGTAATTTGCAACTATAAAAAAAATACCTATCTAAAAACATCAATACTATTTATGAGTTCCCTACTTAATTCAAAGATTTAAATTTAAATGGAGCTAATCAACACAAAAAAGTAGTTGTTACGTATTCCTAAATCTCTCTTCTTTGCAAACTTTTCCAGTCAATTAATGTTCTCGGCTTAAGTCTTCTTATTAGAGGGTAGGGAGCTATGTCTCTTCCTGTCATGTGCCTGCATTCAGTTGAAAAGTCTTCGTAAATTTTTCCATGTCATGTGCGTGCATTCAGTTGAAAAGTCTTTGCAAATTTTTCCATGTCATATGCATGCAGTCACTTGAAAAGTCTTCGTAAATTTTTCCATGTCATGTGCATGCCTTCACTTGAAAAGTCTTCACAAATTTTTTCAATCAATTTGTCAATCAGTGACAGAACCAGTATAGGACAGGGGGCAGCCGCCTGATGAAAAGGAAGTAACATGAATTGTAGCAACAAAATGGCAAGAAAAGGTTTGAATATAGAATTATAGACTTAATTCTATATATATCAAGTTGGTTTATAAAATGGCGTTTATTTATTATTAAATTTAATTTTTAGAGTTAAATTTAATGTATAAAATGATTGCATAAATAAATGATTTATTGAAGTGTTTATAAATCTGTGCAATTTGTAACTATGAGAAAAATAACCATATGAAAGCATCAAAATTATTTACGAGTTCCCTACTCAATTTAAGGATTTAAATTTGAATGGAGCTAATCAACTCAAAAAAGTCGTTACGAGTATTCCTAAATCTCTCTTCTATGCAAACTTTTCTAGTCAATTAATGTTGTCGGCTTAAGTCTTCTTATTAGAGGGTTCATGTGTATGCATTCACTTGAAAAGTCTTCGCAAATTTTTCCAATCAATCTATCAATCAATGACACAGCCAATATGGTATAGGATATGGGGTAGCGGTCCCCTGAACTTTTGAATAATATCAAATATGGTAGTATATTTTTGTTTTTTACAAAATTTTATTTTTGAAATTTGAATTATAGGGAAAATATAAAGAAAATATTTAGGATTTAGGTGAAGGGATCACTTCTCTCTTGTGACTAATTCTTATAAAGACACATTAATTTTATTTAGATAAGAGCAACTATATCCGCTTGAAGGTGGCTAGTTTGACTTGTTAAAACCAGTTGTACCTAAATAACAATAGAGAAATTTAAACCTATATCTCTAGCATGGTTCACTTCACTCCTTACCATTTAACCCAAAGGTTCAAACTCTGCAACAATTAACTCTCTTTGTACCAAATAAATTTTTTTTTTTTTTTTGAGTTTACCTTTATCAGTTCACAGCTAAGTGAGGAAAATGATTCACACGCAATGTTTACTTATAATGAAATATTATAATCTTTAGTGACAATGATTATAATTATGATAAACTCTTTTCATTTTGTGTGACAAGGGGAATCTGTATTCATCCACTTGGTTTGATTCCATGTATTTATCATAAGATTTCGTTTTAACAAATATTGTTGTGAATTAATTTTGATTGAATAAAGCATTACAAATTAATAATGAAAAATGTGAACATATTTCAAGAGAAATTGGTGACATGTTACTCATAACTTTGTACATACACTTATGAATCAATGAAATCAAGGAGAGAATTAAGAAAATATTTTAGAGCATTGAAAATCAATTAAGGGGATGCTGATGATTGATGGCTGAATCTTCTTACCGTGGAAACTTGTAATTGACTCTTATGGTCATTGATAGAATTAAGTCTTGATTTTGCTGATTTAGTTTGTTTCTGGTTAATAAGGAATCAACTTTTTTGAGAGTCGTTGGGTGAAACTTGTAGAAAATAATACAAATGGAAATTTCAATGGTGTGAGTGTGACTTTGGTACTGAATCTTCTTACAGTGTAAACTTGTAATTAGCTCTTATTATCATTCATAGAATTAAGGCTTAATTTCACTGATTTAATTCTTGTGTCTAGTCAATAAGGAATGGTCTATTTTTAGAGTTTTTGGATGAAACTTGTAGAAAATAATACAAATTGAAATTTCAATGGTGTAAGTGTAACTTTGGTGTGCCTCTAATAACACAGGACCAGAGGAAAAAGAATGGAAAACAGAGGAAAAAGAATGGAAAAAGGATGTGGAGAAAGAAGTAACATTAAGAAAATGATGGCTTAAATGTCCCATTTCATTATAGCATTAAAGATATTTCAACAGGTGAAACTAACATAGTTAAAATTAAGTAAAGCGTATAATAGGAAGTAAAAACAAGAAAACAATGGGCGTGAGCAGTCCTTAAACTACTTCATTTCTATGGAGAACGATAAATAATCTTTAAGTAGATGATAGAAATGCTTCACCTAAAAATAAACAGAACTATATCTTGTTTTTTCTTTGTTTTTTTCCATCCCAAATTTCCCTTTATCCACAGTTTCGGTCTCATTAAAAGTTTCAAGAGCCTGACATTAATAACCCAACAGCACTGTCTGTCGTGCTATCTTGTTTTTTTTTTGTTTTTTTGTTTTTTCCCATCCTCACATTTCCCTTTGTCCACGTAAAAAAATAAAAGAAAGAAAAGAAAATAAGGGACAAAGAATTAGGTTACAGTTTAGGTCTCATTAGAAGTTTCAAGAGCCTAACGTAAGATAGTAACCAATTGAAGGTCCAGCGGCGTCTATTATGCTCTCCGTGTACTTGTTAATTTTCCACCAACTGGAGCTTCCCAATAAAACCACTGTCAAAGAATTCAAGGTGGCTTTCGTAGTGTATTTCCTAGGAGTCAAAGAATTCAAGGTGGCTTCCGTAGTGTATTTCCTAGGAGACAATATTTGAGCATAAAAGTGAAAATGATGGAAAAAAAGGTTGAAAACTAAGAGTGACTTTACTTAAGTTAACAGTGTTGTGTGACTGTTTTGTCAAGGAATTTCTGTTGTTATGCCCCACTTTTTGCTTCCATTGTATTGAGCAAGGACTTTTTTGCCTGGGATGCTGTTAGAATTTGAATCCAAGGTGTGGAATGAGACATGAATAAAGGAATTAATTGAATTGTCTTCGGGTTTGTGCAAGTTGCAAGCATGAGAAAAGTACCTACATTTGTATGTTAAAGCATTAATGCTATTTACTTGTTCCCTACTGGATTCAAGGATTTAAGTTTGAATGAAGCGTATCAGCTTGCAAAGAAATAGTTTTTATGAATTTCTTAATCTTAACTTGAGTTGTCTTTACAAATTTGATCATGAACCGTTGTTGCCAAGTTTAGAATATCTATCTAAGGATTTAAGTTTGAACCAAATCAAGTTTTAAAGAAGTAATTAATTCTAACGGATTTCTTATCAATGTCAATTATAGCTTTTGCTTAGATCTTCCAAGTTACATCTACCTTTCCAGCTTAAGTCATCTCTTAGGATAGAGCAGTTTTTAAAAGATTTATTAAGCATTATGCATCCAGCGACACATTCTAACAGATTTCTTAATCTTAACTTGAATGGTTTTTGCAAATTGGTTGACAATCCCATGGATGGTACATCAAGGCCTTTTTATGCTCTCTCCATTTTTTTTATACTAAACCTTTTGGTATGTGAAAATCACATTCGATTTTAATTAATTTAAAATTGAATCATGTTAGACCATATAAAATAGAAAGCTTTGTTAGTATTTGTTTTTTTATTCACACAATTTGAATTTGAGGTTTTATTTAAAAGAAATTAAATTTTTTCGACTCAGATTAATAAGTTATTGGTGTCTCCATTTTAATTTATTTGTTACCCTTCTACTTTTGCTTAATAATATTGTAAATAAATTTACTCCTTCCAATATGATTTAGTTGTTTTTTTTTTAATTTTAATAAAAATTAAAAGTAATGATACATTTATTGCACATTTTTATTATTAATTTATATAAAAAATAAAAGTTGATTTTATTTTTATTAACCGTCCAAATAAATTATTTAACATGAGATTAGTGTTAAAAATAAAATTTATTTTTATAATTTTTCATACAAGTTATCGTGAAAGAGTACACTAAATGTATCCTTAACCTATGCCTGAAAAAAACCTATGCCTTGAAAAAATCCAACATTAAATGCTAATATTTTAATTTTACACTTATCTTAAAAGAGACAAAAATGCCTTAGGATTTTTTTTGCATAATTGTAAGCAAAGGTGAAAATGAAAAGATTAATCCTAATTATTGTAATGAATGAAATTTTTATTGTTATGAATGAATAAAATGAAACAACTAAATCAAATTAGAAGAGTATTAAAATTCATAAAAACATAATTATTACTTGGTAATTCTTTGATTTTAAAAAGGAGGATTCAATTAATAAGGGAAGTTTAGAAGTGTGAAATATTAATAATAAAATTAAAAAAATAAAATAAAATTTAATACTTTATTTAAAATAAAAATTCATAAGAAAATTGAAATAACTCTTTTTTCGAAAGAGCGAGTATGAGTTCGTATGACAAATAAATTACAACAAATGAAGTAATTTAGTTAACCGCTTGCTGTCTTCTTGCTGACTTTATTTTCAACAAGTGTCCAAGAAGGCAAGAATTCATCATCGCCTTTTAATTTTTAGGAAGGTGGGGTGCTTTATTTGCAAAATATTAAATAAAAGCAAATGATGAAACAAAAAGGGTTAAAAATGTTAAAATTTATTTATCTTTTTTCTTAGGACAGATTCTTTGAGCATTAAGATAAAATTAAAAATGATGAAATATTGGTCGTGATGTCCCACTTGTTTCGTCCTATCTAACTCATTTACGTGTATAAATATCTGTCATTGCAAGAGCATGCACTGTATCCCCAAGGCATTCTAAATCATTGGTATTATGGCATCACCCATGTTCTTCCTCCTGCTGCTCCAGTCTTTTCTTGTTTCTACTTCCGCTACTTCCACCACTTCTTTACTTAATCAAACAGAAACTCTTCTCAAATGGAAAGCCAGTCTTGACGACCAAAGCCAAAGCTTCCTCTCTTCTTGGGTTGGGAACAACCCCTGCAATAATTGGGTTGGAATTGCTTGTGATAGAGTTGGAAGCGTCACCAACATAAGCCTTTCAAATTTTGGTCTCAAAGGTACACTCGACAACCTTAACTTCTTGGCCTTCCCCAACCTAATTCACTTTGATGTTGGTAATAATTCACTTTATGGGGCCATTCCTTCTGACATCGTGAACTTGTCCAAACTCACTTTTTTCAATTTGTCTAGTAATGGTAATTTTTCTGGAAATATTCCCAAGGATATAGGAAGGTTGAGTTCGCTTACCGTACTCGACCTTGCTTGGAGCCAACTTAATGGTTCACTTCCTGTTTCTGTAGTAAATTTAAGCAATCTGTCTTACCTTGCAGTCGCTGGCAATAACCTCAGTGGCTCCTTGCCTCA